CCAATAGGGAGCTCCACCGAAAGTCCCAATGGGTGTGCCCGCATGCGTCCCGCACACCCATTTCGGCACACCCCTCACACGTTTCGTGGCCCCATAGGGAGCCCCATCGAAGGTCCCAGTGGGTGTGCCCGCATGCGTCCCGCACACCCAATTCGGCACACCCCAAACACGTTTCGTGGCCCCATAGGGAGCTCCACCGAAGGTCCCAATGGGTGTGCCCGCATGCGTCCCGCACACCCATTTCGGCACACCCCTTACACGTTTCGTAGCCCCATACGGAGCTCCACCGAAGGTCCCAGTGGGTGTGCCCGCATGCGTCCCGCACACCCATTTCGGTACACCCCTCACACGTTTCGTGGCCCAATAGGGAGCTCCACCGAATGTCCCAATGGGTGTGCCCGCATGCGTCCCGCACACCCATTTCGGTACACCCCTCACACGTCTCGTGGCCCCATAAGGAGCTTCACCGAAGGTCCCGCATGCGTCCCGCACACCCAATTCGGCACACCCCAAACACGTTTCGTGGCCCCATAGGGAGCTCCACCGAAGGTCCCAGTGGGTGTGCCCGCATGCGTCCCGCACACCCATTTCGGCACACCCTTCACACGTTTCGTAGCCCCATACGGAGCTCCACCGAATGTCCCAGTAGGTGTGCCCGCATGCGTCCCGCACACCCATTTCGGTACACCCTTCACACGTTTTGTAGCCCCATACGGAGCTCCACTCCACCGAAGGTCCCAGTGGGTGTGCCCGCATGCGTCCCGCACACCCAATTCGGCACACCCCAAACACGTTTCGTGGCCCCATAGGGAACTCCACAAAAGGTCCCAATGGGTGTGCCCGCATGCGTCCCGCACACCCATTTCGGCACACCCCTCACACGTTTCGTGGCCCCATACGGAGCTCCACCGAAGGCCCCAGTGCTACCGCGCGCATGCGTTTCCACCCCCACTCAGTGCAGCGTTTCGTGGCCCCATAGGGAGCTCCACCCAAGAAGGTATTCACAATTGCGGTATTCACAGCTGCATATAGTTGGGTCCTTCGCCCGGATAATTCAAATTGTTGAGATTTTTTGTTGGCTACATCCGCCTGTAGGAGACCATGTCTGACTTTTGTGATAGGATTTGCTGTTGAGCTCCGCGCCAAACTCCAACAGAAGCCACATCGACAGCTGGCTGGAGCCCCGGCCGAGGGCAGCTGCAAAGTTATGCAAGATGAAGACGGTGAGGGGTGGAGCAGCTGGAGTAAGAGGAGGGGGAGGAAAAGTAGGAGGAGGAGAGGGAGGAGGAGGAGGAGAAGGGAGGAGGAGGAGGAGGAGGAGGAGGAGGAGGAGGAGCAGGAGGGAGAGGAGGGATAAGGAGGAGGAGGAGGAGGAGGAGGAGGAGGAGGAGAAGGATGAAGGAGGAGGGAGGATGGGAAGGAGGCAGGAGGCGACGTAGGAAAAGGAGGGAGAAGGAGGAAGACGAAAAAGGACTGGGAGAAGGAGAAGAAGGAGGGGGATGAGGGAGGGGGAGGCAGCTGCAGTAAGAGGAGGGAGGAGGAGGAGGAGGCGGAGGAGGCGGAGGAGGAGGAGGAGGAGAGGAAGGAGGAGGGAGGAGTCAGGAGGAGTGAGGAGGAGGAGGAGGAGGAAGAGGAGGAGGAAGAGGAGGAGGATGGGAAGGAGGGAAGATGCGACGGAGGAGAAGGAGGGAGGAGGAGAAGGAGAAGGACTGGGAGAAGGAGAAGGAGGGGGAGGAGGGAGGTGGGGAGGAGCAGCTGGAGTAAGAGGAGGAGGAGTAGGAGGAGGAGGGAGGAGGAGGAGGACCAGTGTAAACCCAATAATCATCAACGATGTTGTAATACACCCTGCCTGCAAGCTCCCTCTTCACAGGTCGCTACAACATGTCCACTGATGGAACTGCCTCGCGGGGAAACAGCCGTTTGAAGACCCTGCAACATGCCAAAACATTCTTCTCGGGATTCCAACACCACCATGACTGTTGCATCTTGACGATCCTGAATTGTGCCAGAACGCCATTCCTGGGGTTTCAACACCGCGAAGCACCCTCATAATCCTGAACCCTTCCCAAACACCATTTCTGGTACGCTGATTATGGGAATACGTGAGGCTCTTGCGAATGTTTAAAGCGAATGTACGCGGCACTAAGGCGAGAACCAAATGTTGAAAAGGAACCGCCCTCAATCCGCGAAACTCTTGCAACTATTGAAAACGAATGTGCGCTCCGCTCATGCGCGAACCACATTGTGAAACCGGGTCGCCCTCAATCCGCGACACTCTTGCAAATGTTGAAAACGAATATGCGCAAGCCTAAGACGAGAACCACATTTTGGAAACGGGTCGCCCTCAATCCGTGAAACTCTTGCAAACTCGTAAAACGAATGTGAGCGGCGCTAAAGCAAGAGCCACATGTTGAAAACAACCCGCCCTTCATCTGTTGAAGCTGTTGCCAACTTTTAAGGTGAGGCAGTCTCAGGCAAAACGCCCGGCCCGCCCTAAAAACTGGCCTCGGGGTGCGACAGGGAGAACTTACTTGCAAGGAAAATGAATGGAGGAGGACGGAGGATGGGAAGGATGGAGGAGGCGACGTAGGAGGAGGGTGGAGGAGAATGAGAAGGAGAAGGGGGAAGGAGAAAGAGGGGGAGGAGGGAGAGGGGGATGAGCAGCTGGAGTAAGAGGATGAGGAGGAGGGGGAGGAGGAGGAGGAGAAGGGAGGAAAAGCATGAGCGAGATGATGAGAGGATGACCTCCACGTACGCCTCAAGGTACCTTCGTAATTCCATGAACCTCCAGAATGTTCCGAAAAGCCCAGAGAAGACCCTCAGACCCCCCCTCCACAACCTGTGGGAGCCTCTGGAAACCTCCAACCCGCAGGAAACGTAAAGCTTCAGAGATCCCCAGTCACCCCCTGAACACCTCTGGATCCCCAAGAAACTCCTGAGGCGCCAGCCACGATGGCACCTTCAAGAGGGAGGGGGGAGGAAAAAGGAAAGAGTGAAGAAGCAAGGGAAGATAAGGAACCTCCAAGAAAAAAAGGAGGAGAGATAATGGGGAAGGGAGGACAAACATAGAAGCAACAACAAAGAAACAAAACAACCTCCAACAAGCCACCACGAACTTCCGCACCCCCCCCTTCGTGGAGGCCGCCCAGATAGGGCTGGAATGAATAGGGTCGAAGGTAGGCGACGCATCGCCGAAGCATCGGCAATGTGTCGGCACGGAATAAGGCTGGACTCCAAATGGAGACGCATCGCCGAAGCATCGGCGATGCGGCGCGACCCTCCTGACCCCGACCCCATCTCCTGAGGCCCTGCTTGGGCGCCCCGGAGCAGCCCCCAAGAGAACCCGAGGCATAGGCGCTCTCGCCCAATCGGAGATCTACTGACCAGGGTCAATGCAAACCCAGGTCAAAAGAGGCATAAGCCGCTCTCTCCCCTCGGGGATCTACTGACCCGGGTCAGTGCCAACCCGGGCCAGTCGTGCCTTCCAGGATCCTGCAAAATCCTGCAGGATCCTGCGCCCTCATCCCTGTCAACATGCACCCCTGGCTCAGTCTCCTAAAAGGACGCCAGCGAAAGGGACGTCTGAGACCGCGGCGTTGCATTTGAGACTTCGAAAAGTGCGAGTGAAAGGGTCATGCGCCGACCGTGTGGGCGAAGCCGAGCGGACTTGAGAAATCAGCATCGCCCGTCTCAAAAATCCTTTTTCCGTGGGGTCCCTTTTGGAACCACATGAAGCTCTGCAGGATCCTGCAAGTTCCGGCGCCCTGTCCGACCCCCGCTTGCATGGACCCCCCGCCGCTGGAGCGCCGATCGAGAACATGAGACCCTCCGCCAGCCAGAACACCCCAAGATGCGCAAGAACATCCAACAGACACGAAATACCAGTACCCATCGGTCGGAAGAAGTATGTAGAAACATGAAGTAGGAAGGCGATGAAAGTAGATTGGGTTCCGTCCGCCCCCTAAGGAGGACGGAAACGATGAAACCACTCGATCACTGTAGGAAGGCGCTTAAAGTAGACTGGAATCTGGGGATCTAAAAACAATCTACTTTCAACGATCGATAGGTAGGGCACCCTCCCTGGACCGACCTCTCGGGAATCTTCTGACCCGGGTCAATCCAAACCCGGGCCAGTCAGGCCTTGCAGGATCCTGCAAGATCCTGCGCCCCAAGCCCAGGTCGATGCGAAAGATCCTGCAAGATCCTGCACCCAAGCCCGGGTCAATGCGACCCTGGCCCTACATGATCCGGCAAGATCCGGCGCTCTGGCTGACCCCCGCCTGCATTGACCCCCGTCTCTCGAGCCCCGAGCGACCTCCTCCTCCTCCTCCTCCTCCACCTCCTCCTCCTCCTCCCCCTCCTCCCCGGCTGGCCGGCGCTCTGGCTGACCCTCGTTTGCACGGACCCCCGTCTCAAGGCTCCCGACGCCGGCCGTCGGGGCGGCACGGGCTCAGGGGGGGCACCTCGGCCTGGCATCGGCGATACATCTGGGCAAGCGCGTTCCACTACGAGGGGGAGGAGGAGGAGGAGGAGGAGGAGGAGGAGGAGGAGGAGGAGGAGGAGGAGGAGGAGGAGGAGGAGGAGGAGGAGGAGGAGGAGGAGGAGGACAGGAGGAGGAGGAGGAGGAGGTGAGGAGGAGAGGGGAGGAGGAGGACGAGGAGGAGGAGGAGGAGGAGGAGGAGGAGGAGGAGGAGAGGAGGAGGAGGAGAGGAGGAGGAGGAGGAGAGGAGAAGGAGGAGGAAAAGGAGGAGGAGAGGAGGAGGAGGAGGAGGGGAGGAGGAGGAGGAGGAGGAGGAGGAGGAGGAGGAGGAGGAGGGGAGGAGGAGGGGAGGAGGAGGAGGAGGAGGAGAGGAGGAGGAGGAGGAGGAGGAGAGAGGAGGAGGAGGAAGGAGGAGGGAGGAGGAGGAGGAGGAGGAGGAGGAGGAGGAGGAGGAGGAGAGGAGGAGGAGGAGGAGGAGGAGAGGAGGAAAAGGCGGGGGGAGCGGGGGGGGGGTCGGCACCGAGGAAGCCGCCGCTGGAGGCCGGGACCTCGGCGTGGTGGTGGTCAGGGGCACGCCTCGCGGGGGGTTCAGCGCCGGGAGAGGTGGTCTCGGAGGGGCGAGGAGGATCTCCCCCCACATCCCGAGTGGGGTTTTGGTTTTCCTGGACCACCCTCGCCTTCTCCCTCCTCTTTCTCCCTCCTCCGTCTCCTTCTCCAACTCCTGAGTGGGATTCTTGACTTCCTGGAACATCCTCTGCTTCTCCTTCTCCCTCTCCCTCCTCATCCTCCCTGCGAAACCTCTCCTCCTCCAGGCGGATGATTTTTTCGCAACATCAGCACGTGCACGCACGGCCACACCCCCACTGAGAATGGAGATGGGGTGAGGAGGAGCGAGGTGTGAGGAGGGGGGAGGAGGGAGGATGGACGAGGTAGGACTGAGGAGGAGGGGGGAGGAGGAAGAGGACGAAGGGGGAGGAAATCGTCGGCCAACGGCCTGGCGTGGCGTAGAACGTGCTCGGCATGCAGTGGGAGCCGCGGGCCGGGCGGCGCAAACGTGCCTCGCAAAAGGCCACTAAGAGGCCCCCTGGAAGCCCCCGAACACCTCGAAACTGTCTACAAGAGGCTTCCGCGAGGCCTCCTAAGATATCCCAATGGGCATTCAATAGGCCTCTGACCCAAGTCTAGACGCGGTGGCGGGATAAGCCGAAGGCCACTAGACCTGGCCCGGCACAGAGACGGAAATAGCGCTTCAGAAACAGAAACCGAACTTACTCACACCACCGTTCGTAATGGGAGCCTTGGCGTTGAGAGCTTGTTACGTGACCCCTCGCTTGCGGGGGCCTTGGTGTTCAGAGATTGTTGCGTTGCCGCCCGTTCCTGAGCCTCGGTTGGGCCTTGGTGTCAGGAACTCGTTACGTCGCCGCTCTCTGCTGGGAGCCTTGGTCTTATCAGCTTGTTTACGTCACCGTTCGCTCTTGGGAACCTTGGTGTGAAGAGCTTTTTGCGTTACCGATCGCTCTCTATGTGGCGTCTCTGGGCCTTCTTGGGAGTTCTGTTGGGGCCCTTTTGGAGTGACAAAGATGTACATACATTCATATACCCACGAGCCTCTTCTTCCGTGACAGGATTCTTTTCAAAGACCCAGGCTGTAGGGTATTCGTCATACATATATGGGGTGTGACGTGGAGGCGGTGGGTAAATTCAGAAACGTATCGTCCTCCGCGCGCATGCTCATCTGGCCATCGTTTTTTCTCACAAGTGCCGTGTGCAGCATGTCGCGTTCAGATATCCCACTGTTGCCGCCGCGCATGCTTACAGGGCTCCCCAGTTATGCGCTGACTGCGTGATCGAAGATGTCGCCCATATGGCATACATGAGTGCGAAGACTGAAGCCATTGAGCACTCCTGTCAGTAGCCCTTTCCACGCGCGTCAACCATGTGTCATTCACCGGTACCGAAGGTGGAGCCGATCGAGCAGGTGTCCCTGCGTTGCTGTCGGTCTCTGCTACCAGTGGAATAGGTACGTCAGTAGCAGGTGTCCCCGCACGTGTAGCTGCCTCCGTTACTAGCCCCGCGTTGACCGGTGATCCAGGTAGCCCCGCTGGGGTCGTCGTCGATGCAGCCGCGGTGCTGGTCATCATGGCCGTAACAGGGTTGAGCTCTTCACGGAGATCCCTGAGCTCGTTCGCCTTACGGAGAATGTCTTCATGGCGACTATGTGATTCTTGATCTCCAGCAAGGGCGTAGTGGAACTCGGCAGTAATGAGGCCAACACCCCTGCATATAGCACAGGGGGCCTCGCTTGAGGAACCTTCCATGTTTCCAGCTAACTGCCTATCCACATGAGCTTGCACCACACGATCCCATCATTGCGCGTGGAATCTGTGGCCGCACTGGAGGCGCCAGATCTTGTCGTGATCCATGAACAGGTCCAGGCATATGGCACACTTACTGAAATCGCCGTCACTGATGATGGGCGGTGTTGCCGCTGGCCTGATACGCATCTGACGCTCCAGGGTGGATTCTCCAGCTTCGAATCGGTGATGACGTCGGCAGCTGCATTGATGCAGCCATGACTGGACTGCTCGCAGGTGTCCCTGCTGTATCGCGGTTAGCAGGCTGCCCTGCGCGGCTCAGCATTCTGTCGGCCCGGCGATCTTGATGTCGGCGCTGCCATGTGGCCTGCATAGCCAAATTGGCTTGCTGCGCCTCGTGTATGGCCAGGATTCAAGGGCGCATCTCTCCCGTGGTCGGCGGCAACACTAGGCCTGGAGCCTGTTGCTGCACATCTTGATCCATGGGGGGGGGGCCAGATAACCATAGTGAGATATCTGTCCTGGCACACAGGATGCATATCCTGAGCCACGTGTCAACTGCGACTGGAAGAAATCGTCGGCCGTCGCCCGAACATCTGGATTTTCGGGCTGTGTTCCCACCCGAGGAGTACCACTCACCTGTGCATGATAATCAAGGAAGAATGGATGATCCATTGGCACTGCCGTTGGACGATCAGCAGACGTTCGATCGCAAGTTGGGTGGCTGAAGAATGCTGGCACGTAACCAAACCGATTGGGGTTGTCCGGTGAAGGATTTGGATCCGGAACATGCTCCCACGGCGGCGTCCAGTTGGCACTAGGGAGGTCGATGCCACCCCTCCGCATGCTCTGGGCGGCCTCACGCATCTGCCGGCACATCCACTCCTGCTGACCAACTAAACTTCTCTGTATGGCGTATTGGTCGGAAATAGCAGGTTGCCCCGCAATTGGACGTGGAGATGCGAATGGCGACGTCGCCAGCAGAGCCTGGTAGAGCTGCGGATCCATTCGAATACTTTGGAGCCTCGCCCGCAGACTGTTGTTGCTCCCAACAATTTGTGGAATACCAAATGGTGTAGTAGCTCTGCTCATAGGAGCGAATGAAGCAGGTTGCCCTTCAGGTACTGGCAACTGTTGAACCTGAGCGCGCCACGGATCGTTGGCGTACAACGTATTAGTAGGCGTACTACCACTTGGTGTGATACCTGTCACATCAGCGCTCGGAGCTTGCATCCATGATCCATCAGATCCCCCTGCAGGTGTCCCCGCGTAGCATGCGTCCATCACGAGCGCGTGTGAGAATACAATCGGAGGTGGATCGGGATACTTCAATTTGTAGGGGATATCTGGGATAAACCATTTCCTCAGAGATGATGCATCATTGCGAATCTCGTACATGTCATCAAGTCTAATATTCGTGCACGGCTGGTTGTCGTCCTTCACATATAATGGATTTATCCGTATCTGCCCCACACGATTGCACTGACAAGTGTGATAGGGCAAGATCCCTGTGAACTGGGCGATGCGAGTGGGAGGGATCCTGCCATTACGGCCTGCTGTCACGACGATGTCGTTCGCGGAGCGCCATGCTGGAATATGGCCCCGAGCGAAGTTCTCCAAGCGAATCGTGATCAGGACCTCGGAATCCATACGTCAACCAGATTGGATTCTGGTGTCACCAGGAAGGCATGGGCATCCATGCGCAAACTGTCTGCTCCTCTTCTTACTGGTGTCGTCGGCGCGACAAGATAAACCAAAGCTGAGAATACTTGGTAGATTCTCCCATTGAATTCCATGAATGAAATGCCGAGGTGCCCCAGGTGCTGATAGGCCAGTGGTCCTCATATGTAGGGATTCAGGGCACTTGATACCAGGGCTGCTGCGCCCGTGGGTCGGGCGGATGAAGTGGGTGTCGCAATTATATCGGAGTGCCCCATCTTCTTGATCTGCAGCCTGTTCTTTTTCATTCCGGACTCATCTATCATGCCGATGAGCTCCAAGACAGCGTGGGCCTGATACGCCCAGTGACGATGTTTGAGCATGTGGCATACCGTGTCGAGATGCTTGGGGTGGTACCTTTCGCATCCTTCTGCAGGCCATGGATTGAGTAACTGCGACAAGTCTGCCCAGCCGTCGTACTCGTCATATGTCGTAACCTCGCGTATAAATCTGTCTGGCAAGCGACCATTGCGAAATGGTTTGTGATGGGGGGCTGTTGTCAGCCACTCAGACACCTCACGTTGTTCTTCGTCTTTGAACCTCGGCATTCGAACGTTGTCCGTGCTGAGGGTGTTCTCCAAATATTCCTTTTCTGAATCCAACGTGAGTGCGGGGCGCTTCCGCAGGAAGTTGCGCACTGTTTGGCGCGCGCGTGCACCTTCGTCAGAATGGGCAGCAGTGTCCATGATGTTGTATTGCACCACCACGTAGCGATCAACTCCATCATCATTCCGCGGATGATATGCTGGATTGATCTTCATGCGGCTGCCAGTGCGCATCTTGTCCCAGTATTCCTTACATTCCGGCGGTGCCTCCAGCGCAGGGGCAGGTTGCCCCGCTGGACTGTTAGCAGGTTGCCCCGCAGAGCTCTGAGCAGCTTCCCCCGCAGAACGTGGGGCAGCCTTTGGCGCTGGCGCTGCAAACGTTGCTGCGCTCGCCGCTGATGCGGTAGCACCAGCAGACCCTCTGGGCGTCCTTGGAGTTCCTTGCGGGGTACTGATGTCGAAATCATGGTGCTTGTTCTCTTTGGTGTTATAGGACTCGAAATCCTTGTCCCTGGGCACTGCTCCTGGTACTTTTGGTGTAGTAGCAAGGAGCTTCTCAGTGTGCTGCGTGGAACACGCGCCCCTTGTTCTGGCTTTCAAATTAGGCGCCCATGCTGACCTGTGCGTCCGACCTGGTGTAGGGCCGCGAGGTGGCGCGGGCTCCTTTGGAGTGGGCGTACTGGTGCCCTGGAATCTGGCTGCTGCGGCGGCCACTGCTGGCCCTCGAGATCGTCGTCGGCCAGCGCGTTGCTCAGCCGGTTGCCCCGCGTATCTCTTGCTGCCCCCAGGATTAGGACCATCTGGGCTCTTACGCTTTTCCTTCTTCTTCGGCTTAGGATGATCAGGACCAAGAGATGGACTTATTGAACCAGAATCAGAATCAGAAGCCGAAGGAAGTTCGATCGTTTCTGGCTTCGGCTTGGGCGTTGCCCTTGCAGTAGATCCTGCCGGTATCCCAGGGGTGCATCGCCGATGACGCTTTCTGGGGCCTCGGTCA